TTAGGCCACAGCTAAAAGATTCAGGAAATGGAGAGAAGGCCTCGATAGCAAAACTCTTTGAACAAGGTAGTAGTAATTCCTGAACTGATTTTTATCAAAAAAAAGCTATACTAAAATAATAAAGAACTATCTATTTATAGTCTACCTTTTTGCTTTCTCTTATAGTGGGATTGCAGAAGATCTTATCATTGCTTGAAGCAGAAGATGCTGATGTGCGGATTCATGCTGTGAAAGTGGTAGCAAATTTAGCTGCTGAGGGTATCTTTTCTGCCTGTCTGCTCCTTGTTTACTTTTTTGTTGTAGCAATACTTCGCTCTAAATTTGACGTGATTAAAATAGAGCACTGCCTTTTTAAGTAGTTGCACATCTTATGGTTTTTCTCATTCTTGCAGTTTCATATAATTCTTAGAAACCAATTTTAGAAGGACTGAAATTGTTAATTCTAGATAATTGAGGAGTTTTGCCTGGATGTATCTGCTATTTCCTCCATCACTTCTACCCAGATAATAATTGGTTTGATAGTGCTGTTTCTTATTAGATATGTCAATGACAGTGTAAACTTGACCTCCATTGTGCAGAAACAAATCAGCAGAAGATTGTAGAAGCTGGAGGCCTAACGTCCTTGCTGAGGCTGCTTGGAAGCTCTGAGGATGAGACTGTCCATAGAGTGGCAGCTGGTGCAATTGCCAATCTTGCAATGAATGGTAAAATGTAAATTGCAACATGATGCTACTTTCTATGAAGTCTTTTTACTTTCAATTGATGTTACTTTTATATGTTACTCCTTCTATGTTGTCAGAAACCAACCAGGAACTAATAATGTCTCAAGGGGGCATTAGCTTGTTATCAATGACTGCAGCTAATGCTGAGGATCCTCAAACACTTAGAATGGTTGCTGGGGCCATCGCCAATCTGTGTGGCAATGGTAAATTGCTTGACCTCTTTGACTTTTATCTGCAGCAATCTCCTAATTTACTTGCGTGGTTAAGTTTATGGGAAGTTTCTGCATGTTGGCTCAACAACTATTTATTTCCATAACTTCAATCAGTAATGTGTTTATGCAATCAGAGATTTAAAACTTCTAATAGTGAAAACGTGAAATGTTAAGTTTGTCTTATTAGTTTCATCTGAGGTTGTTACCATGGAGCTCTTTACTATGCATGTGCAATTTATTTAGGAGTCAAAATGATACATTCATGTGAAAGAACTTAGAGTAGTGTAGGGCTCGATATGATTGTTAAAGATTCATTAAGTCGATCAGTTTGTTTACCTCTTCAATTGAGTACTTCTCTATTACTTTCTCCAGATAAGTTGCAGAATAAGCTAAGAGGTGAAGGTGGTATTAAGGCTTTGTTAGGCATGGTCAAATGTGGACATCCAGATGTTCTTGCTCAAGTTGCTCGTGGAATAGCAAACTTTGCTAAATGCGAGTCAAGAGCATCAACTCAAGGTACAGTTTCTTGGAGGATGACTTGAAGTCTTCTGATCTCATAGCTTGTCATGTAGTAATTTTGAACTTGTTGATGCCTTGTTAACAAAGTTTATGATGCATGCTCAGAAGAATATATATGGTTTCTTTGTCTTCGGAGGTAATTTGGTTCTCAAATGGTACAGGAAGTAAAACTGGAAGGTCTCTTCTGATTGAGGATGGAGCACTTCCATGGATTGTACAGAATGCTAACAATGATGCCTCGCCAATCAGGCGCCATATTGAGCTTGCACTCTGCCACTTAGCACAGCATGGTCAGTTTGTTTTTTCTTTTGAAACTTTCGTATGGTTTCTCTCTTTGAAAATCTTTCTAATGAGGCTCCAATCCAATTCACTACACTGCAGAAGTGAATGCTAAAGACATGATAAGCGGAGGTGCCTTGTGGGAACTGGTCCGCATCTTGCGAGAGTGTTCACGGGAAGACATAAGAACTCTTGCACATCGGACACTTACTTCTAGCCCGACCTTCTTAGCTGAATTGAGGCAGCTACGAATAGAATTTTAATGAAATTATGGAAAACTTGAAGTGTACTTGAGGTGCAGAAACCGATTCAGCTTAAACTAATTAAGACTAGAGGATTGATACTCCGCACATTTAAACAAGCAGGAGTGCCTACAGCTGTGCTCCTGTTAAAGTTTTGCCATGAAATAGAGTGCGCTTGGCTTCATAGTCAAAATATGTTGTTGATTACACACGGAACCTCTGATTTATTAATCAAATTGTTGTCTTGTGATCCCATGTGTAATTATCTGAGGCCTTCCTGTGTAGTTTGCTAATTATAGTAAACAAATGATTTGTATATGAAAATGAATAGTGAGGGTAACTAACATCCAGTTGTTCTTGTATATAAATAACTTCTCATTATTTATTCTGGAAGGTTGGATTTGTTGTGGAAAGCTTTTTTGTTTGTTCTCGCAGAAACCCCTGGATGCTAACATATATATATATGTCAATTCAGTAATCTTTTTTCTTAGGTGCTGGCTAATTCCATTGTTCCAAAATTGGTGATGTATACATCCACCTCTTTGTATAAGGGATTAAAGGGTTCAATATCCATGTGATGATCACTACTATTTTTTTGTTTATTCCTCTTTCTTTAACCCAAATTTCATTGTTCAACATTTAGGCCTTTTCCGTTATCCTGCTTTCCTGATTCCTCTCATCAACAGCCTGTTATTCTTATTCCCATCCATATATATTATATTAATACATGGATAAAGCAAATCTTAGTTGAGTTTGTTGTATGATAATATTGAGAAAGAAAGGGTCCTATGTTGGAGATTGATCTGTATAATTAGAATTCTCTCTCTATTTTTCTGTTTCTTCATTCATTCTTATGCCAATGCTAGCTGTTGCTGTGTAAACTGTTGAGTGTCATTTCTTTAAGTTCTTTTCAATTGTAAAAGGGTAAATAATAATAATAATAATAATAATGAAAGGAGTTCTTTTCGAAGTACATTCCGACAGAAAAATCTCAAATAATAAGTAGACGTGTAATTGAAGAAGCTTCATATTCTTCTTCATCTTCATTGGAGAAAAGCAGAATTTTGTAGCTCGTTTATTACCATGGACTAAACTTATGGTTTTCTTCGTAGAGATTATATGGAAGAAGGAAGGGGTCAAGAAAGATCATTTTCAAAGCAATTCTGAATCACATACATTACTACAAAAATAGTTGTTGAAAGATTTGGAAAAGGAACAAGGTTCTGAATTACGTACATCTTGTTCAAGATTTTCTTAACATATATAGGTGAAATAATGGGTGCAAAGACTAATTGAGTTGCCTCTTTTAAGTTAATTAAACATAATTAATCATCCAAAGAAATAATTTAATGTTATTTTATGCTACATTTTTATGAGTAAATTTCTTCAACTAGTGGATATCATATGACTAGTTGTTTTCTTCAAATACCAAGTTCTGTGAGTTGGAATACCTACCCTCCCTTCCATGCCTTAAATTTCTAGTTTTGTAACCTCATATTGTGAAACAAATGTGAGGAAACGTAGAAATCAAACTAATTCAAAACCTCTCTGACAATTTGACACAGAACCAGCTAATGATCATATTAGCAAAAGAATTGGAATAGACAAAAAGAAATGAAAATAAAAGGGCCATACCCCAAAGTAACTGATGTATCGAATTTTATTTTTGGTACCGATGTTGATCCATTTCTCATACTAATTTCGTTAAGAAGAGATTAGTTATGAGCTTAGGGTGTAGTTGACAAGGTTTTCTAGATTTATTAACGTGGGTTAAGAGCCCACGTTTTAACTGTCAAATCATGAGTTAATCAACAAAGAAGAAAGAGCAGAAGGGAGTGGAAGGGGGGTGGGGATTAACAGAAAAAGGAAAGGAAAAGCTGCTATTCAAGAATTCAATGAAGAAATAGTAGAAGAATGAATGGATAAGTCTTAAAAAGCTGAGCTTTGAAGGGAAAAAAAGCAGCCAGCTGTGAGTTTTAAGATGGAGAGTTGCAGTGCAGAGAATCTGAACTGGATTTTGGCTTGAATCTTGAACAGCTGCCCAATCCCCAGTTCTCTGAATCCGGAAGACAGATAGAAAGAGAGATAGAGAGAGAGAAAGAGGCTAAATTTAGAGTCAACTTTGTTTTGGTCGCTGCCCTTTTATGCACGTGTTTTGTGGTTTTGCCTCGAAAAGGGAATTGTTCAGAGCAGTGCACGTGTAAACCAGTACCCAAATATTTTCATGTCTCCATATCTAAAACAAAAAAAAAAAAAAACCCTAAGACTCTCTCTCAGAACAAATACCTGGAAACTATAATGCCCATACCTCTTTGCCTGCTTCTCGTAAATAGTTTGCCACCCCACTGAAACCGCCCCAACAGCCAGATTTAATTGAACCCTTTCCCTTGACCTTGTCTTCTTGTTTACATAATAACAACAAAAATGAAACAATTGTATAATATATACTTGGTTTCTAACTGTCTTCCTAGAAGAAATGTTAAGAAGGAAAAAGGAATAATTTTGTGTTTATATAGGAAGAATATTGAATTAGGGGGTCTTCCTTTGCCGAAGGAGAATTGTGTGCATAAATATATGGGTAAGTAATCAATTCTGATAGCACATAACAAAATGAAAATGGCTAATGGCAGCTTGTTCCAATGGGTGAAAGATTATGAGAGAATTTCTTGGAGCTGCAACAAGAGAAATATAGTGAAAAGAAGTGCAAGTCCTAAGCTTCTTTCCCTTTCTTCTTGTTAATCTTCTTCCATTGAAACATACTGGAGACATTTATTCTCACAAAATCAAATGCACCAAGAATCCATGAATTTACAGTCATTCAATCAACATGCTTGCATACGACCTACTCATCAAGTTCAAAAGAAGGAAAAAAACTAACAGTGAAAGAAACAAAACCTGAAATGCTGCTCAACAAACCCAAATTTCCTAGCTACAAAGTTTTTTGTGATCCTCTTGCTATAGCTGAAGTTGAAGCTGAAAACTGAATTAACCAAACAGTAGTATCATTCAGTATTGGAAACTGTTAGCTAGAATGGAGGGCGACCAGTAGCCCAAAAAGCCTCAGTTGGTAATTGAATTGAATTGAGAAGGTTAGGTGGTAGTCCGTGAAAAAGAGGCGCGTTTGACTCAGCCAATACTTGTTGTTGCTGCTGCTGCTGCTGTTGCCCTCCAACTGCACCCGGTGACCCAATTGCACCCCCTTGCATTGGTAGCTGCTCGTCTTCTTCCAGCGGAAGCCGCTCATATGCGGCGTTACTAAAAGAAGCTGCCATAATCACAACCGGGCCTGAACAGATAAGTGTCCCGACAACACTGCCACCTACCACCTGGCCTTGTCCACCAGCCAAATATATGGTTAACCCCGTAGCTGCAGGCGGTGCTGGTGGAGGCAAGAATGATCCTGCCAAGGATAATATCTCGAATCGGCCGTGTAAGGTCACAATTGCACCAGCCGAGGCTGGTTGCCTAAGGGTTACGTTTGTGACGGTCCCAGTTCCACTCATTATGCAAACGCCTCTCTGGCGTCTTCTAGCAAACGTAGCGACGCTTTCAACAATGTCACATCCATCTCCTATTTCCATAACATGAGTGCGTAAAGCGTTGGCACTGTCCCGGGTGATGATGATTGGTGGCTTAGGCTTGTTCTTGGATCCAGCAGGCCTGCCTCGTGGTCTTCTAGTGATCTCTCCTTCACCGGAGCCCGGAATACTGAGCTCGTTGCCTTCATTATTGTTGGCGCTGCTGCTGTTGTTGATGTTGTTGCTGTGGTCGCGATCCCGTTTCCTTAGGCCACTGCTGCTGCCACTTTGTTCATCTTCTGAATTTTGGTGATGGAATTGATGTTCTTGCTGTTGCTGCTGCTGATGGTGAAGATTGAAATCTCTTATATTAAATGGAGGAGGAAGAGAAAGACCATGTGATGCAACTGGATCCATGCTTTTTTCCTTTATATATATATATTTTTTTCCTGCCTTGTTTACAATCTCGAAGCTCACTTCCTCACATATACGAACAGGAACCCCCAGGTAGTGATATAAACACAAAGAAATAATGAAAGCAGGCACAAAGGAAGCTTGTACTGCTACTAAAAGAATTTAAAGGAGGATAGTGGAAGCGAAAAAAGAGGCCATAAACATATAATAACAAGACTCTTTCTTTTCTTTGCTTTCTGGCTTGTTTCTTTAACTTGTTTAATGAACTAGCAGGCGCAGCACATCCCTAAACCAGAACCCAGAAACTGACTTGATCTTTGGTTCCACCAAAAGAATTATCAGCTGAATTCGCCATCTTTGACCTTCTCTAAGAACTCTTTCGTGAATCTTTTTTCTTTGATATGAAAGTTTTGGGATAAAGAAAAGAAAGAAGGGGGAGAGGTTTGGTGTGGGTTTTCTCTCATACAGTGGGCTCAGAGAGGATGGGGGGAGGGTGGCTTAGGGTTGGATATTGAGAGAAAAATAGATCGGAGATTGGGGTTTGGTTTCGCAAAGTCTGCGTGCTGATGGGCGGTGGATGAGGTCCCCACTTCTCCTCTTTCTCCCTCTCTTAATTTGTCTACTCCAGCGATCCACGTTCTCTCTCTCTCTCTCTTTCTGTATGTTAAAGACTATTTGATTATTTTAAGTTACCTTAACCCTATTGCACAGCCCTCAAGCCCTTATCTCCAAAGAAATTCAACCTCCCTCTTTTAACTCTCGTGAACCCGAACTTCTCCTTTTTATTGTTCCTCCATCCCAAGTATCAAAGCTTGAAGCATATCCAAGCTTTCAGGCTTCTGCTGAGTTCTACAGTTTATCACATGCAAATTTTTCCAATGTTGTATATGGCTGAATCTATCAATGATTCTGGAACATATGCAGAAGAAGCACTAGTCTGCATTGGGCAATCGTTGATTAAATGTACTATACGAATATATCATTTAATTTGCAGCAATCTACTTGAACGATGTGATCCTCGCTCTGTGAACTGTGAAAACTGTAGCTGAGAGACAGCTGATAATTAGGGGCCATTCCCTCTAGATGTCTTATCTCATCATTTCGCTCCAAAAAAAAATAACGGAGTAAAAAGCTTGAAGACAGTAAAAATATTTGAATATTTGATTTATTAATTTATTTATAATTTTTTATTAAAAAAATAAATTTCTAAGTTTTTTTAATTAAAAAAAAGCTTAAAAATGTAAAAACACCACCAAAAATAGGTTAAAACCCTTATCAATTAATGCTAAATAATTTCACATAAATTTAGTTTGTTAATATAAGAATCAACCTGCATGAAAGGAGAAATAAATTAATTTGTTTATAGTAGTTTTTAACTTTATAAGTTTCTTATTTAATTGAATGATTTAAATCAAATATGTCAATTTAAAGCTATACCATACAAGATAGTTATCTTATATTATATAAATTTCACTCATTGCTCTCGATTTAAGATAAAGAAAGAAAAAATTAATCAAATACTTTCATCGTATAAATAACTTAACACTTATTTGAATTATACCTTAAGAAAAAAAAATTAACGAAACTTTGATCCAAAATCATCAACATGAGCTAATAAGTCAGGTTGCATTATTTGCTTCTCTTGTTTTTATTAGAACAAACCTGCAAAACTGTAGGAGTTACACAGTATTATTCGGGGGATTTGGATGCAAAAAAGATAAAAATACAGCTAGCAGAATTAAATTGGAGCAGAAAGAGAGACGTTTTGCTTCAGTTTTTTCATGACCCCCCACTTGTGCATCCAGCTTCTTCTGCAAAATTCCATCTTTTATCTCTCTCTCTCTCTCAATATACTAACGTTAATAGGGTCCACATCCATTATAAACTCACCACGTGTCTCTTTCCCCTCTCTTTGAGGGTCCATTCTTTTGTGAGTCATACTTACGTTTCCTGCATTACCCTATTGACTATTAATTAATTAATATGATTAGGGTTTTATATTAGATATGTGGATATGATAATGATGCACACAAGGAGAAAATGAGTTAACTTATTATGCCTTGATTAACCTTAATATATCTAGTTATAAGATTTAATTAATAATTCGGATAAATGAAAATTTTAAAACCTAAACAATTAATTATACTCCAAGTCCAAGTCATAAGAAAAACAAAGAGAATCTACACATTTAATTAAACACAAGTGCACCATATAATTTCTTATTCAAAAAGTTGAATCGAACACAAATTTTGGTAAAAATTTTCAAGAAATTAATTGATTGTAATTCTCTAAATTGAAGTTCCAAAAAGAAGGTAGTTCCCTCAAACAAAGCGATCAGGGAAGCAAGCATGCCGTGGCTCGAGGGAACAGAGGTTAAATACTAGTGGTATTTAAGCTATGTTTAGCGGGAGGTCTCTCCAAACAAGGCTAGTGATGAAAAGGGGAAAATACCATACCTTTAGACGTTCAGTATGCTAATTATATAATTAACCTCATTCCTTCAATAATTAACATTTCTTTTTTTGGAACAAAGTGTATCCACTGTCCCCTCACTGTTATTAGTTAATAAGTTCACTATATCCTTATTGTTACTACCCAATGTAACAGATTGAAAGTAATAATAGTAACTGTACCTAATTTAAGAATTAATTTAAACTAATAAGTAAATGCTCAAAGAACAAAGTCTGATTAATATCTACCTCTAAGAGGATCAAGATTAGAAAAAAAGAATTACACATTCAATCACATGCAAATTATATGGAGCAAGAAACTCAGCAGATAATAATATTAAAAATGCTATCATCGCTGGCTAGAACCCATGTTCAATCTTGTCGCATTCATCCTATGTTTATCGAGAAAGAAAGAGGGAGGTGAGACTAATAACAGACTAGAATCCTATAAGATTTAGTTAATACATATGGAAATGTTACTCACCCCATCCGAGACGTTTTTGCAAAACTTCCATTATTAAATTTTATTTGAATGAACGGTTGTGATTGTAATGACTACATTATTTTAAATGTTATTGTAAGTATGTGAATCGGACTTGTAGGATATATATATATATATGTAGAGAGAGAGAGAGAGAGAGGTTTGACCGCATAATCCAGAGTGTTGGGGGCATGAGAGAGTAAGAAAAGACGCGTGGGAGGCGCTGACAGACAGAAGGTGAAGGCAAAGGCATTGCATTGCACGAGCAAAGCCGGGAGAAAGAGAGGCTGCTAAATGCTAATGCTAGTGCTAACAGCTGAAATGAAGAAGCTCCCAAGCCCTACTTTCCATCATCTTCCCACTTCTCGCGAGGGGACGCAAACCCATGTATTAAAAGATGCTCTTTGTCGGGGCTTTCTCTCTTTCCTCACGGACATAGACGGACGGGTCCACTTTCATTCCCCCCCTTACTACTTGCAAAGTCTTAGACTAGATCCTCTCTCTCTCTCTCTCTCTCTCTCTCTACATACAGCCTATAGAGTCTACCACCCTACACCTCCCAAACTTCAAACTCCTTTTTTGGGTCTTATCCCCATCAGTATGCGAGAAAACTAGCTCCATGGAAATGGGATTGTAGCAGAGTTGATAGGAACCCATTATTATTGATTTAATTCCTTGCCTTTCCTGAAAGTCTAAAGAGTGTAAGTCCGTAGTAGCTTTTACACTGCTTAAATATAAACTCATGGATTAAATAAATATCGAATTATTGTCAAACTTTTTGGGTTAACATGTAATTACCCAAAATAAGGATCGATCTTTGAGATATTTAAGGTTTGGAGCTGAATTAGCAAATGAAAATTTGATACCATAAATAAAGAATTTCTCAACCTTAAGGAATCCAAGCAGAATTTTCATCTTAAATTACTTGAAACATAGGACTCACAAAAGCTCTTCTTTTTATTATCATCATGATCATGTTATGATAGTATTTATTTCTTGGTTCCTTTTGAGATGACACCAAAACAAGGGTTTGATTGGTTTTTTTTTTTTTCACTTCTCTCTCATTTTACTAATTATTTCAATTTCTTAAAGTTGTTGTTGGCTCTTGGCTTATCAAAGATTCTCGGTGTGAATTTCTAACCCACATTAAGCCCTGTAGTTGATGTCTTATCAATTTTATATTCCCTGATATCTCAAAAGTTTGATAATAGAAAATTGTCATTGTAGGATGGATTAGGTTGAAAGTTAATCATTTCAAGCAAAGCACAGTTAAACTAGATCCCCCCACCATATGTAGAACCTTGTACATTCCCATTTCGAGGCTTTACTAAAGTTGACTGCCCTTAAAACATATAGTTCTATATCCATCAACTAGTAATTTAATTAGAGATAACTAATTAAGTAATCAATCTTGACTTCAATTAATTTGATAATTAGCTATACATAGCTATGGCAAGAATAATGAGGCCATGATTTAACCGTCTTATATGGACAATGATGCATGTATATACTAATTAAGATAAAAAGATTTGATATAATTAACTCAATTATATTAGTTGGAAAAAGAGAATTAGCCGCCAGGGCTGATAAGTTTAAATTGTAGAGTTGAGATGCAAGTTGAAAAGAGCATAAACCTAGTATTATTATTTTTTATTTATGCTAACAAATTTCAGGATGTTTTATGATATGAAAGAAAACCAATTTGTGAATTTGCAACTTGATTATGCCGGTCTCCTTTGCTGCTAACCACTTCTTTGTCATGGTTGGTAGAAATAGATTAAGTATGAAATGCCTTGATCCGCCAAGAAAAGGAAAGAAAAGAATATGAATTTAATAGTACAATATTTTTTTTCTCCAGAAGACTTTGCAACAAATTCCACATTAGTATTCTATGTTCCCTCTTTTATTTTTATTGTTTTCCATTCATTTAAAATATAGCTACCTATATGTGTGGAAAGGTTCAGGGAACCCAATCTTTAATGGTAGACAAATTCATTTAGGAAGTTGGCCAAAGGAGCTCCCCAATAAAGAAAGAAGAAACCCTTTTTTTCTTTTGTGATGGGCAGAGATGTACGATGATTAATTAGACTACTAAGCGTGAATTTAGGAGTGAGCGTGTTGAGAGAATTAAGCTAAATAGTTAAACACTTTTGGACATATGTCATTACCTGGCCTTACTTAGAGACAATTTTAATATACAAGTATATATGTCATGGAGACAGCAAATTGGCTTATTCTGAATTATTTTCAATTTCCCTTCTGTCTTCTTGATTAGCACTGGCCGGCTTCATTGGAATTTATATAATTTGTTCTTAGAAAAGAAACAAACCGAGAAACAAAGCCATGCTTAGGGTCAGTCAACGCTGCACCCACCAGGTTGCCATTATTATTATTATTATTTTTAATTCAATTTGTCGTGGTGTTTAGAACTTAATCTGATGGTTGTTATTCTTCTGTGTATATAAATACGTTGAAAGATAAGTACCAAGTTTTTAGTCTCAAAGAACATCCTGAATGATATATTGAGATTCTTGGTGAAATTTTTCTAGTATGAAGACTTTTAATTTGAATGTTTCACATAATTAAAAATGGATTAATAATGTTTATGGATATGGATTAATTTGTCGGCTTGCAATTAGTACAAATTAAGAGAAGCCATTGTCTCAAAGTTGCTGAGGCAACGTTCAGTTCACGGGCTCATCAAACAAATATATATATATATAAATGGTATCTGTCTTTTTGCCTGAATTAAAGGGTCTATGGTGATGTTTGTTAATTTGTCAGTCAGCCTTGGATTGAATTTGGTGTACGCTATTAATATTTTGTAGCTTGGAAATTCTCAATTTGATTTTACAAGCATGATGCCATACTATACTAAGGTCACAAGGAATTACCTTATTGCTATCTTCTTCTCTTTTTATATGATGAAATTACGTTAATTAATATATTAACAAGTTGACACACGACATAAAAATATAAACGAATCAAGTTCGAATTCCACTTTTTTCGAAACGAAATATAAAAAATATACAGGCAAATCTCATGCTTGCCTTACTGTTACCCTAAAACGAAAAAGGAAAACAAAGAACCCAATTTGAAAGCAAAATGAAGGAAACAAAACCCTCTGATCACTCAAAGGCATGAGTCTCGTTGACATGGGAAGTTGGGGTCTTCAAGATAGGCATGCAGAGAAATCTTCTTACCTACAGAGAGAAGTTGTGCAAGTTGTTGATGAAACGAGATAAAAATGCTTAGAAACTATCACAACTTTGAATGCTAGTGACTCAAACTATATTTTAATCAAGTCCATTCCATTAAACAAATCAATCAATCACCATCTTATTATTTTATAATTAAAAAAAATAAAAAGCTTATCTCTGTATTTGAAACCAATTAAAGTCCATGGAGGGCTAAGAAAGTTAAAGAAAAGATAGGAACAAGATTAAGAAATAAATTAAAGACCATGTGAAAGGCACCCATTGCCTCGAATCTGGCATATTGTTGCCATGTTTCTGCTTTTCTTACAGGTCCATCCATCTCTTACCAGTTCAAGGCTGTTGCATCCCCAGCTGCATCTTCTCCAGGGAGACCAACACAAAGCTTTCACATGTTGGGGTGGGGGTGGTTTAATTAATTGATTCAAAGGTCAATAGAGTATTGGACTTTGGATTAGACACTAAGCAAACGACAAATCAAGGCGCCCACGTGATCGTTGGCAATCGATGTGGAATCTTGTTTATCATAAAACTTAAATCATATCATCAGCTTCATTTTCTTAATCAAGATGCTAATTATAATTTAAACATATTACCGTTCAACAGAATTTGTTGTACAGAAGTCGATTGTTTCACACGAAAATTTCCTTGATGTTGAGTTCTTCATGTATGAACTTGACTAGCTTATTGCTGACCACCCATCTTGGAATCCTTCTAAAGTCACTGGCATGGTAGAATTGTTGAAGGAAATCCTAAAAGTATTTTCCCAATCAAGAAGCAAATTAATTAGGACGAAATTAGGACCTAAAAATCCCAGAATTCAGTTATAATTAAAAGTTTGACAACCGTCAACGTGCAGCGTAAAGAGCAGCGTAAAGCACTATAGTAGTATGCAATTTAGCTTGGAAAAAGAGCTTTCTAAATGTTTTTAAAGTACAGAAACTTAGAGTAATTAAAGAAAGACATATAGCTGAAAGATTGCTTCAGTAATCAGTACTATATTGACTTAAAACTTGTAAAAAGAAATTATATTCATGATTGTACGGAAAAATCTAAATATTGAACGACAAAATTGATGACTTTGAGACGATATGCACCATAACTTAGTTTTTTTTTTTTTGGTTTTTTTAAATTTGTTAGTTTATTATTTTTGAAAATATAAATGATCCAATAGACAAGCTTAAAAGATCATAGACCCTAAAGGAAATAGTAGTAATATTTTAACTAGGAAGCAGTCTACAGCAAAAAATGAGATATTAATGAGAATCTATATGTAGATAATATTTTATATATATGTATATTGGTGTCACAAAATTTGGGATACGTTTTTTGCAGTAAGCTTTCCTTTCTCCATGGAGTTCCTATATGGAGCAAAATTCATGAGCTGGCTCAGGAAATTGTTGACTGTTTGTGATTAAGTGGACCAACATTGAGCCTGACCCAATTAATCAGTCCAAATTTCGAGACCAGGCCAAGGCCCATGTGATATATTCTTTTTTTTTCTTCTTTTAGAAAATAACTCTTAAAGATTTTTCAGTTTTTGAGATAATTGTCATTACCATCACCATCATTACATGGTGTCGAGCTTTTCTTTACAATTATTTGGCTATGAAGAATGCTCAATCTATAATTAAAAGACATTAAAGCGCAGAGACAGTAGTGATTCCGTGACCTTTTTGGGAACTTGGTGCATGCTAAGGACCATGTCAATGTTCGAACCAATCGAATCAAAGCATAATCAATTGGCACCGGTTTGTGCAATTATCAAATATTTTAGTGGGGGACTGGAAAATGAGAGGCCTTGAATGCAACAAAATAGCTTTATTTTGCGTGCTTCGTCTTTTACTTTCTTTTCAAGGTCTTTTTTAGCTTGACTCAATTGGAAAGTTAGTGATCGACTCTCTTGTCACCATGCACCCATCATTTATGGACTGCGACAAAGTTTAGAGGTACAACTCTGATCCCACTACCTAATACTATAAGAACTTCATGATTGGAACCAGTTGCAAACTTCTCCATCTTTGGTTATTTGATTTTTTTTAATAATAAAAATATGGATAAATATGTTTGTTATGATGAAATTTCAAACCAATGTTAGCATGCTCAACTCAGTCTGAATGATTAATGACAGAAGCATTTCGTTTCTTAGATGTTTTTGAGGATTTGTCCACCCTAGTTGATGCATTTGCAAGTTGAAACTCTTGGTATCTTGTTCTCTATTCTCAAGCAGTGTATGCTGTCGTCATGAGTTTGAACTCTTCAAAATTTATGAGTCCATCTCCATCTTTGTCAACTCCTTTGATCATGAGGAAGCATTCAATGAGACTGCACTTATCATAACCAAGACCAGCCAGTATATTCTGCAGCTCCTTGGCTGATATGAATCCATTTTTTTCAGAATCAAATTTGGCAAATGCATCCATCAACTCATCTTCTTTGTCACTGAATTGGACTGTATTGACTCCAACAGCATCCATGAATTCCTCAAAGTCGATGTATCCATCACCATTTCGATCCAATTCCCTCACCATTGCATCAGCTTCCTTCTTTGCTGCAGACTTTTTCTGCCCCAAAGACAATAGCAGTTCACTGAGCTCAAGCGATGATATTTTTCCATCTCCGTTTGTGTCAATGAGCTTGAACACTTGCTTCAGCTGACTAGAAACTTCCATGGAAGCAAATGAAGATGAGCTGCAATCAAAACCAGCAAGTAAAACCTTGGGGTCTCTTTTCTTGTATTCCTTTTCATTGCTCAAGACTTTGAGCTTTGGCAAAAATTTTCTAACTTGCTTGCTTAAAATGGTAAGGCAAGACATTGTAAAACTAACAGAGTATGTATAAAGAATAGAGGATAGTAATGGCCTAATGGGGCTAATGGCAGATATGTTATGGGGAGTTGATCAAGGAGGTCATGGTAGTTATAGTAAGAACTCCATGGTGGAAAAACCAATTGTCTGCACCAAAAGAAAGCTGCAATGGTGGATACTCTGAATGTGAATTTAACTTATGGTGGAAAAGCATGTTCCATGGTTCTTCTGACCTTGATGATAAATTAATAGCGTGCAACAGTTGTTTTGATTTCTTGGTTTGATATCCTCTTCATGCCCCTCTATTACATAAGTGAATAATGTATTTGAAAAGTCCAGGGAGCATCCTCGTTTTTTCCGTGGTTGTGTCTGATAGCTTATTAGAACACTAGTCAAGGAGGAAGATGAGGCAATTATCGGAGATTTCTTCTGTTCATTCTGATTATTAAGAGATATAATATCTTAGAAAGTAATGGTGGATTGGACTGATCTTTTGGCCCGTGGCTGTGTGGCTCGCACATAACTCATAATCTTCAAAGCTTAATTATTATAGGTACCATATAATTGCATTCAGAACTTATCTGCTGGACCTAAGATAGCGATGATGCTTAATTAGATGAAGAAAACAAAAGGAGTTGGAAGATGAGGTGGCTCTCCAGCCAGAAAATGCTCAATCATTGTCGACCATGCATCTTGATCAGTTAAGGCCTTCCCTTGATGAAAACACAGTGTTATAATCCTATCAATCATTTCAAGAATTCATCTTAAGACATAATAAATTGACTGTTTTTGACCCTTTTCCTCTCCAGTTTACTTGCAGCACGCAGAGTAATAATTACTGCCGTGGTGCATGGTATTGCATTGAACAGGAGAACTTCTGCACATTTTTCTTCTGAATTAGCAAATAAGTGCACAAGGTTTGGCCTAAGCCATTACTGGTTTGGATGTGGCTTCCAATCTTCTTTAATTTCCTTTGATTTTGACCTGTTTTTGAGGGCATTCTCTTTACAACTATATAAAAGAATATGGCTGATTTTTCTATTGTTGTCTGAGTGAAGGGAAAGTTTTAAATACATCCTCACCAAAAAATTAAGTCTTGAAATTGAAAGGACTAAGCAATATAGATTCACCTTTATTCAAACCGACAACATGGTTTCTTTGGAGAAAGAAAAGTAAGGATGCAGACTGAAAAGTTAAATTTTCTTTACAGCCAAAGCTTCCTGCTTGTGAATTGTATACAATCAACAATAGAGGACTAATGATAGTCCATAATTTGTTAGATAAAGCTATTCTGCCGTCCAACCTAACCTTATCACTGAATGCAACTTCTACATCAAACAAAAGAGTAGTGCCTGTTCTATCTTTTCTTTTCGATATCAGAAAGTGAAAATGAAGAAAAAACCAGGTGCCTTCTTCCTCTCAGGAAAAGATAAGATAGAACCCTTTTTATTTATTTATTTTGTGATGCGGTGCATGGTTCTTTGAGATCCATTAAGATATAGTTAACTGGCTTGTTTATCCCTCTCAGGCCTGTGAACTAGGGCTATTACGTAAGCAGTTTTTAATAAAGCATTTCTCTCCACTATTCTTCCTTTGAAGTAGCACTACTCACATTCCTTCTTGCTATGATTCACTGCTTTCGGTTTTCACAGCACATTCGTTCCTAAGAAAGTTGCAAACAGAATATTATTGATTCCGTTGAACAGATACTAATTCCTCCCTTTAAACATATAATTCCTCGTTTAAAAGACTATATAGCCTTTTTTTTGTTCTTATCTGCTAATCCTTCAGTTTTTATCACTTGCATAAAGTATTCAGTCTAGAATCTAATCGATCTCCATCCCACACAAGTAACTAATTTTATTCACACCAACATAAGTAGATGCGCACTAGAGCTAGCTTGATTCTTCAAGCTCATATTCTCGTGCCTAACTGCACCAGTCGTGGGCTATGTGTCACGGGTCTGAGGTCACATCTCTCTCTCTATCTCTCTCAGAAATGGTACATGCAGATGTAATCAATCATGGAGAGGCAGAGACATGGGAAACGTGCGGCAATCAACGAGAGTTAAGGTACAGAGATATGCATGCTTTATGAATGGGAAACAAGTGGAAAGCAAAGTGCTCAAAGATAAAAGCGAAAAGAGAGACTGAATGATGATAGATACGAGTGACCGCCTGTGTCCTTAAAATATTGATCTTGGAGTATTCATAAATCATAAGTTTATGAGTCCTAAAGGCCAAGAAAGATTGTTATGAAACAAGGTTTGGTTGATTTGTGTATGTTTAGTATCAATCATCAAACAAACCATGTAGACAGGTAAAATCAGCTGCATTTTGCTATCCTTTTGTATGTCACTTTCAAGACCAAAGCAAACCAGTGTCTTACCGAATCATAATTATGTGTTGCAGACTCCACCCCAAAACAAAGCGGGGTGTTTAATTAGATGTCTTCAAGGGCTTTCCACTCATTAGTGTTTTTCCCATTTGAAGGCGGGACAAGAATGATGACCATAATTTGCTTTTTCCCCTTCTTTTCTCCAAAGAGAAACGACAAATAAAAAGGTTTGATTGCCAGTTATATTTACGATAAGGACAGAGAAATGAAAAGAAATCATCTCAGTCCAAACTTACCTCCTATCTGGTGATGGAGGCATATGTCCCAAACCAAGAATTTTTACTTTGTTTTTCCTCCTTCCTTTGAAGAAAATTAAGTTATTACTAAGGTGCTGTGTAAACTGATGATAAGAATATAAAATAAACTATTAGTGCCTTTAGAAGATGAAAGAAAAAGCTTAGATATGGTGGCCCAGCTAGTGCCCTTTGATTCCATATAGCATGGACTTTGAGCAACCCATTCATCCTGAAAGGCCAATCAGCCAGCAGGACCACAGCATTAGTGCTCACACCTTTTATACCAAATCTCCCACCCTGAATATTTTACTCAGATTATTTTTCACTTTTCCGCATTCAAATATGAGATATAATCACAATGGTAAATGAAACCACATCAGAAATATTATGGTTTTCTCTTCTATGTGATATTCTAGACTAGCACTTTTTTACTTCATTGATTGACAGCTCGAATTCTTCTACTCTGTAAGGGAAAATGTTGTAGATTAGACCCCCGGATGCAAAATAAATGCAGGCAAATCTTTTGACTATAACAATCACTTGACCTATTGCTGCTCCTAGCGAAGATTCTTGTTTAGTGGAGATAGGAGTAGCCGATATTCAGGTCAGGTTTTTTTTTCAACATCTCACATGGCGGTGATTTTTCAACTATCCTTGTGTCAAAGTTATATTCGTCCTTCAAGAACAATTTAAAGCATGCAAAGCATCTGGTTACAGGACATTTTACTCTTAAGCAATGAATCAGGCAGGAAAAAGGTTCTGGAATTTCAAGTTTCGCAGGCAGCCTGTTTAATCAGTTAGTAAAACTAGTGCAAAAGTAATATATTCTTAGGAAGAAAACAACTGACAGGAATATCTGACGAGATTTGAAGAGGATATGTAAGCATGGATGGCCTTTGCACTATCATCTCGCACTATAAGTCCACCACCCCAGCTTCCTCTTCCTTTATTGGCCGTTACAAAAAGCCACGACACTTGCACCCTCAGAAACTAATTACCCTCACGAAACGCATGCACTCGCAATAAGCCATCAATCTTATCTAAAGAAACCCCGATTGCCCATCTTTCTCCTGAGCAAAATATATATTTGGATTTTTGGAACAACCCCACCAATCTACTTTGTTCAAGAAATGATGTCTGCAACATCAAGATTGGAAGAGAACCCTACTGAAAAAACATCTCAGTCACCTTCAGTTTCAAACCCCACCCAGAGATGGCCAGCCAGCCTCATGCAGATAATGCTCTCAGAGCTGAAGGCACAGAGAGGAATAGCGGTTCCTTTGGTGGCGATGAACTTAACATGGTTTGCAAAGATAGCAGTAACCACAGCGTTTTTAGGTCGGCTAGGAGAGCTCCAGTTAGCCGGTGGCACACTCGGGTTCACCTATGCTAATGTCACTGGTTTCTCTGTCCTTAATGGACTTTGTGGTGCCATGGAACCTGTTTGTGGTCAAGCCTTTGGAGCTAAAAACTTTAGGCTCCTTCACAGGACGCTTCTGATGGCCATAGCTTTGTTACTGTTATCTACACTGCCTATTTCTTTCCTATGGCTTAATGTTGACAAAATTTTAGTCCATTTTGGCCAAAAAGAAGACATTTCTGCTGTTGCAAAGACATATCTTTTCTATCTTCTCCCTGATTTGGTTGTCACTTCGTTGCTATGTCCTCTCAAAGCCTATTTGAGCTCACAAAGCATAACTATTCCCATAATGTTTAGTTCAGCTCTAGCGCTTGCTTTTCACATCCCTATCAACATCTTTCTTGCAAAAGCTAAGGGTCTCGAGGGAGTTTCAATGGCTATCTGGATAAGTGATCTCATAGCTGCAATCCTTTTAGTCTTGTATGTACTGCTAGAGGAAAATAGAAAGGGAGGAAAGTGGAAGGAAGGAGGATGTTGGGATCAAGGTGTTCAGGACTGGCTTAGGCTGCTCAAGCTTAGCGGGCCATGTTGTCTCACAACCTGCCTTGAATGGTGGTGCTATGAGATTTTGGTCTTGCTTACGGGGAGGTTACCAAATGCCAAGCAGGCAGTAGGAGTGATAGCTATCGTCCTAAACTTTGACTACTTGCTCTACTCTGTAATGCTGTCGCTGGCCACATGTGCATCCACTCGCGTCTCCAATGAGCTTGGAGCAAACCAGCCTGTCTCCGCATACCAGTCAGCATATGTATCATTGGCAGTGAGCACACTTTCAGGTTGCATTGGTGCCATGGTGATGGTAGGAGCGAGAGGTATTTGGGGTTCACTATTTAGCCATGATAAAGGAATCATAAGAGGTGTAAAAAATATGATGTTGCTAATGGCACTGGTTGAAGTTGTGAATTTCCCGTTAGCTGTTTGTGGAGGAATCGTCCGTGGAACAGCTAGGCCATGGTTGGCGATGTATGCTAATCTTGGTGGGTTTTACCTCTTAGCTTTACCGATGGCATTCGTTTTAGCTTTCAAGGCTGCACTTGGACTAAGTGGATTGTTGCTAGGATTTTTAGTTGGGATGGTAACATGTTTGGCATTGTTGTTGGTGATGGTTGTGAGAATAAAGTGGCATGAAGAAGCTGGCAAGGCACAAATACTTGCCTCTAATGCGGCAGTTGTTGAAGATGGAAATCTCAAAACCATGCTGAAGTATGAAAAAAACAGAAACCCCAACAAGCTTGTTAGTGCTTCAAAGCCCTAAAAACACTGACCTTTTTATCTCCTATCTGTTTTCGTCAAGTGTAACATAGAGGAATCTTTTAATCCTCATGAATCATCATTTCGCAGCCTCTTGATTCAATAGAGAAAGCCTATTTATAATGAGGGTAACTTCCACATATCAAGAGCTTTATATGATCTAGAAGAATGAATTAAAGAAGTATTGCAGAATTCACCATCTCCCTTCGGATGCTAAAGAACAATGGTCTTGTTTATAAATGATCCATTCACAATATAGCTTGAGCAAAATGGCTAAACGGCGAAGTAAATGCCAGGTTTGTTTTATACATGTAAACGTTTCATGAATGCATGGAAGGGCAATAACAAGCAATATCATGACTAAAAGGATAAATAGATTGATCATTCACTAATTAAAAGAATTATATCTCACAATGAGTGCCAAAGGCAAGCATTACCCATCTAAGATTCAGGTTCAGAACTTAAAGAAGTAAGTTCCTTGGCTTTGTCATCATTGAAGCCAAGAGCTGTCATTATCGTGTGACCAGGTGATTCCACTTCAGACCACACGCCAAGAAGCAGATGAGTTGTTGTAACTTCCCCATCATCACCTGCAATTTGCAGATTGAGTTTCAGCGTTCCCTCAACAGTTTTATATGCCATGTACAAAGCCATCACAGGCTCCATGAAGAAGAATTTTACCAAACAGACAATGCAGACTAATAACAGCAGCCATGCAGAATCTTCATTATGTAGGGGATTATTGAAACTCTATGCGGCATCCAGATTACCACTGTTTCTTGGCTAAATCCTATGTACTCACGTAGTTAAAATAAGGGGCAAATAGAATCATATATTCCCTTTATCACAACATGTAACCGTCCAATTAATTCACTGAGATCATCTTACTTTGTTTACAAGACATGCAACATAATAATCAATGCATAAAGAAATCATAAAATCAGCTATAAAAGCAACTAACAATAAATACAGGAAACTTACCAGATTTTAGTTTCTGATCAACAGCCCAATCAAGGGCCCTTTGAGCAGCTTCTGTTAAAGGAGGATGCTCAGGACTGAAATAGTACATGTCAGCCTTTCCTAGTAATTTGACAGTTTCTTCACGCACCTTGAAAAGTGTGATTCCATTTGCACGCAAAAACTTTGCAGCCAGACTAGTTCCTGCAGAACAAATGAACTTTAATATAGCATATTATAACACTTACAGAGTTACAAGTTATTAGGTAAGGCATCTAATCAACATTTTCCTATTGCAAAGATAAAATGGATTTCAAGCGAACCCAATCTGTAACTTGAAAGAAATGCATGCACTATAAACATGTACACTATGCAATCCTCAATATCGCAGACAAATTCAAAATTAACTATTATCCTTCCACTTTCACAACATTCTCCCAAATATTCCTGGTTTTCTACAATCACTTTTTTATAGATTCAGATATTGGTGAAGCACAGAGACATTCCAAGATATGAAACCAATAATGAAGTTGACAACAATATGAATTTCAGCACTTTCTTTTTCTCTCTTTCAGAATTTCTATTCTATTTCCACAAAGTGAGAACTAGAAACATTAATTTTTTACTAGCAAAGGAGCCATTCTAATAGAAGTGATCCCTATCATATCACTAATACCTAAAAACCTGAAAACTATACAGGCATTACCAACAATAAGGGTATGAATTTTGCTTATGACTGTCCTAAGGACACTTTTTAAGGTCAGTTAAGATATTATTTATAACAATATTCTTGTATTAAATGCAATAGTTGACAATTAATTTGATGGTTTTTAAAGCATTAGTAGAATATACTAATTAATATGGTAATCTTAAACAGTGCACTTAGGGCACTCATTAGCAAGCAAAACCCTAAGACTATACCCAGAAAATTTAACCATACTATCTGTATTAGCCCTGCTCTGTCTATTTACTGCCACAGTTGAACAAAATTTTTCCCCCTTTTGACAATGGAAAGATTATGATATTACTTCTAACATGTTATTCACCATCAAGAAAGGGAAATTAATGAAAATATTAGAAAACAAGGAAGTTAACGATAAAAAAACTATTGATATGACCCGCACGAAAAAGAGTAATAGTGCTGTTGCAGTGCATTACAGGGAAATACCATTCCTGTGACTAAATTAATGTGGCAGCTTTGAGCTGTAAAGAGAAAAGGATTTCTCATTTGATTGAACAAAAAGAACACAAAGATATCGCCAAATTTTGGCCCAGAGGCACTTGCTTATCATGCAAGGATGCTACCTACCAACTAAGGCAGCACTGAAAAGTAACAAAGTGAACGGTTTGCTTGATGAAATTAATCATGCTAATTCCAAACTTCCGTATCCCATCAACCCATGGTAGCTCACTTCTCAACAATGCTGATTCTCATTTTCAATAATGACCAACATTATCATTGATCACACATTGTTTTCAACTTAGTTTGTTTTAAAATGCATGTTTGATGTTTCTCATTGTCCCTTACTTATTGCAAGCGCTAAAACATTAGGATGACAATAAAGCACATAAATTACTAACAAAAGAAAAGTGAACTAAAAGAACTTCAAATGGGTAGTAGAAAATGTGATTAGTGATTACCTTCAATCAAAATGCCCATGAGGAAAGCCTCAGTTCCAGTAGTAGGATACTTGAGCTTCCTCGCTTCCAACTCAGCCATAACAAATGACTTTATTGCCCTCCTTGACCATCTGTATTTCCATTCACTCAATATCTCAATAAAAACCCCCAAAAGGAATGAAAATTTTATCTTTTTAAAATCCAAACAAACTGAACTTACTTGGGAACTTTCTCAGTGGAAGCAACCCTGTCTGGCTTCCTGCAACCACAATAAAATTACATTAAAAAAACCAACAAAATAAAACTGAAAGTAAAGTTTAACCTAATGAAGAAAAGTAGGATATGAGAAATTTTACGCAGTGGGGAGACTAAAGGAGACAGTGGCAGTGATGGGGCGGTGGTTGGGCAAGTGGGGTCTGGGTTTTGATGATTGAAGAGAAAGTTTGATGCCAAGCCATGGACTTTGTAGACTGTGGGGCTTTAGAAACGAAGAAGTTGAACTGGGTTTTGATTTGTTTTCGGATTGGGTGATAACTGGACTGATCGTTGCTGGATTTGAAAGAGAGTGGGCAGCTGCCATTTTTTCTTTGGCTAGAAACTCGAACAAAGGGTTTAGATATGAGGAAAATTGCGGGTAGGCGAAAAAATATAGTAAAAGGGAACGACACCGTATTTAGGCTTTATAGTTTTATACTTGCATTTTCCCAAGTCACTTCCTCAACGAGATTGGGCAAAAAATAAATCAACTACATAATTCAATTTATTGATCACTTTTTTTATGCCAACTAAGTTTTTTTTATCCTATAAAATATTTATTGAACGAATAGTCATACTTAAACTAATGATTTGTCAATTTTTTATATATGGATTAAGTTACTGTTATTTTGAGTGGGTGTCCGGGAGAGGGCTCTCTCCAGTCTCTGGCCCCAGGAAAGAAAAAGCGGGGAGCAATATCAATGTTGGGTTTGAGCTGAGCCTAAACATTAGCCTGAACCGAAGGTTTCTTTTCTAGCCCACCAACCATTTTTGTGGGTTTACCTGAACAAAGCCCATACTCTTGTTAGATGGGCAAGCTTCCCTCTTAAATACCACTTTTATTTGTGCCCGACATTGCTCGTGATCAGAAGAATCTCCCCAGCGACAGAAGTAAAAGCAGAAAGAAAACCAAACCCCCTCTTAACACAACCATCATTTTCAGGTTTCAAATCACATGTAGTACCACCCATTGGGGGGAATCCAAAGTTGAGTTCCTTCCCCTGTACCCAACCAAATTTAACATTCTTATGCCGCCAATTGCGTTGGCGCCGCAACTTAGATTAAGGGTTCAAAAAACGAACATCTTCCCCTCCCATGTTGTCTAAAAAGATAGTGTTATCTTCTTTAAGACATAAATTAATTGATAAACAATGTGAGATGCTGCGTGATTAGGCAGCAGGTGGGGAGGAGACCTAATCAAAAATCTTAAGGGAACCACTCAAGCTTAATCAGGGTTCAATTTTGTGTGGCGAAAAAACACACCCTTTCTTTTGTCATGATTTTGTCAATCTACCCACCTGATCTTATACAGTTGAGGGAAAAAAAAAAAGAAAAAACCCTTTGAAGGGCAAGCCGCAAGTGCCAACGACCTTTCCTTGTAGGACTGTGGGCTCCTTCTCAGCCTCAGGCCTGCCTGTACCGCACCAATTGAAGAAAAACTGTGAGCAATCGAGTGGTTCCCACTTTGGGATATTCAGGCCTGTTAACTGTTTAGAGGGAGCTCCACCGGCTTAAAAAGTAGCAGGGAATGTTTAGGCCGGTTAGTCAAATTGGAACTAGAAAGAAGGCTATGTGTTTTCCTTTCTCCCTAAAGTAAGAAGATCTTGGAGCGGGGTAGGACAGCAAAAATCTGCTGCATGTGCAGCACCTACCAGATCTCGTGAGTGGGGCCCTCTTGACCTTTGGACGTGTCATTTCTGCTGGTTATACATACATATAATTATCGAATTTGAGGTTCCCTGTTTCTTTAGTATGTGGGATTCGAGATGACCTCAAAATGCCCTTACTTAATACAAGTTTAGGTAGATAGAAAAATCAGGGGATATCTTCCTCTTCAAGTAGAATTGCTACTTTCAACAATTAGAGACAAGATTGTCTTCATCACAAATCAAAAAGAACATCTTGCACAAGTGTTACTTACAAAGTGAGTCATCCTAGTAAATGCAAGTAGTTGCACCTGTCTGCCAACCTGTTTCCCTGACGGCTACAAACACCAAATATAACAAAGCCACGTAGCAACAATGCATTCCAGATTAAGATAATAACTAGATTAATTAAATTGACCCAAATATGTTATCATTCCAGTATTTCAAAAAAAAATTTATATTGATTAAAGTATAATACCTCCATGAGCTAAGCAAAAAAAAAAAGTAAAATGCAACTTGGTTAAAAAGCAACTTTACCTAATAACGAAACTTCTCTTAATTATAGTGTGAAATTACGTATTTTTTTGTGATTATACCAACTTAATCAATACAAGTCATTGATTTTAAATGAAGGGTTATATCAGAAGACATTTTTCACTAGTTTTGCAATCAAAATTATGTAATGAGGGAATATTCTTGTTATTCAAATTAAACTAAAATACAAAAATGTCACCCTTGAGGCGGTGGGAAATTTTGTTGCATCCGTAGGCGGGGGCGTGAAAGCATGACCAAAGGGAAATGAGGATCTTCTTAGGTCATTCTCATGTCACTGCATGTAAAACATTATTAATGATTGCTCCTATCAATCAAAACATACGAACACATGCTTAACGACTTATTGCTTCACTTTTACTCCTTAGAAAAAATTTACAAATTAAGTATGGTTTTTACCCCCTCTTTCTTCACATTTTATTATAATAATATGCTGTATTGTCTATTTTTACTTTGATTCAATTCCTTAGTATTACATAAACAAAAGAGAACATCAAATCAAGCAATTCAAAAAGAAAAATTCTAGTGGGAATAAAAAAGGTATCTTTGCTACAAATCTTTTTTTACAACCAACAATGAAGAAACTTGTCACTTTCATATCACCCTATTATAATTACTTAGTTAAAAAAATGGTGGGACTTGTTGAAAACTTCATGCCTAATCATTCAAAACGAAAAAAATATATAGCAAGATTTGCTATTGGATGGATTGCCCAAATATTCATCAAACTTTGTTGTTGGTTTTCTTTTTTTTTTTTTCATTTTTGAACTTTTCTCCTAAGGGGTACATCATGAGTAGGCTATTGGATTCTATGCCCTGTGAAAGGGAGCCAAAAGGCCCACATCCAAATTTCCTCCAACCCCTCTGGACAGGGCAAAAGTCCCCATCCTAAATTGACTTGAATTTGCAGCATTTTCTTTATGGGTTCTGCCTCCGCGTCTGGCTTTGACAAATCAGTTTTCCTCCCTCAACAACCGGTTCTTTCTTCATTTTTCCAGCTGGCCCCGACTTGATGTAATAACTGCAAGCATCTATCAATGAATGGACTGTTCTACACTTTGGGATGCAAAAGAAATGAAAACATGTTAATAACCCCTCATAAACATGAAAGCGCCCATTTATTTGCATTTATTTTTCCTTTGTTGTAAAGCTGTATGCATCTTGATGATGAGAAGCTAACCTATTCACAAGCTTCACCAAAAGGCAAGAAAAAAAAACACAAACATGTCGAAAAAGTGTGGTTTCAAATGTTAATGACATTAATTTCAATAGGGTTCATAGTAAAGCGTTAGATTCATTGTTGAGAAATTAGTAAATATTTGCATTTATTTTGGAAAAGAAAGTAGAAACCAGCATTAATGAAAAATAAATAAGAAGGAAAATAAATTGATTTTTATGCCTTCTTGTGTCTTCCATTTAGAGTAAGCGACAAAAATGAATCAAAAGGAAATTGTTATTGCATTGTTATAATCATGCAATTCACCTTTTCCCCCTTTTTTTTTCCCCAATATAATGTCTATTTAGGTGTTGGTAACACAAGATAACATAAACCAACATTATACATAATTAATCACATTTGAAATCAAAGAAAAATGATTCAAAAGCAAAAACCCTTTCCTATCAAGTTATAATCAATGTAACAAAAGCTTCTCTGGACGATGATAAGTGATAGCGAACCAATTAATCATTTTAAACACATAGTCAAAACATGAAAGTTTAAAAAATGTTGTAAAAATTAAACCATTTCAAATCCCCCCCAGTGCCCTAAAGTGCTTCAACATCAAGTAATCAAAAGAGCCTGGTCCTCATCAAGTTTTTTTTTTTAAAAAAGAGTGGGCAGTTGAGTCATCAAGTCAATTGACTCAATTCCATAGATTTTTTCCATTTCTAAAATGTTTTTCTCAAATAGGTCAGTTATATAAATTATAAACCAAGACTTGCAAGGCAAGCCAGATCCTGCAAAAACTTTATTTGCTTTCTGTTTACGTTTTCTACGACCACTCCAATGCTTGCTCCGAAGTGGAAATATTGCCCTCCGATTCAGATTAGACGGTGATATCAGCAATCAGTTGTTGTCCGAAATTGTAAGTGCCTTATCAAGCAAACCCTCCGTCATCATGAGGAATCTTTTTCAAGAGCATAAGAATATACTCCAGAGTGTTTAATTTTTTAATCAAATGGTCAACAATTTTTTAAATTCACAGCTATAAATGGGTAGCCATCAGGATTACATAAATATACATGTGCTTCATTTTAGATTATTTATAAAAAAAAAATAAAATTGTTCTTTGATTCAGAACTCACGGGCTTTTTAATTAAAACTTGTCTCAAACTCAAAAAACACGTTTGATAGTAACCACAAGTGTTAACAATGATTGAAACGACGTAATTTCAGAAGAACAATAAATGAATGTTAGTGTCTTTTGCTTTCCATTAAAGAAAAAACCGAACCAAATAAAATCCACGTGTTCTGAAATTTCTTTGTCGTACCTTAAAACATGATATTTGGGAAAGTGAAAATATTATTAACGGATACTACTGCGATGCAACGTGTGTGAAGGATAGAAACATGCATCTTAATATGCTGGATTAGATGATTGATTAGTACTATTTACTTACTAAATCAGATTATGTGATGTTAAATATTTATTTTTATATATTTTATTGATTTTGTAAATTTTATATCTTTAAAGAAAGAAAGACAATGAAGCCATCAGCCCAGGCCATGCTTAACAAAAATGGCCGAAGCATGAACTGAGACTAGCACTGCAGCATCACATGCACATTGTTTGACCAAATCATGATTTTCTTAAAACAGTACCCTAATTTGACGGCCAAGATCGAGAGAATTTAGAAGCCATTGACTATGGAACGTGAAGAGGCATGCAATGTCCCAAAATGAGTAAGAACCACTCCAAATTCAATGCTCAATCAAACTAAAGATTTGGGCAAATAAATAAAATAAAATAACTATGATTTGTTTCACAAATATCGATTTTTTTTACTTGGAACTAGTTTAATCCAACATGTTTAATCACGTCACAAGAAAACATGCTTGGAGTGTCTCACGGAGAGATCTGCGGCGCCGCTGTATCTAATCCTAACCCACGCCCCACTTAACTCCCGCCTCCAATGTGTGAATCCGATTTCGAATTTGGCGCCAAAAAGGTTCTATAACGGTCAAAAAGGCCAGGCCGTCCCCGACCACCACAGAAAAAAGAGAAGCCCGAATTTCCTTAAAAGATTGAATTTAAATTTTTTTAAAAAATTGAGTAAGGACCCAGCTACCGACGTGCTGAGCTGTCATCCACGTGTCACTTCAGTCTCGCCTCGTACTTGACCCTTCGTTGCTTCAAAAGGCCACCAACTGTAGCCAATTTATGCTTAGAGTTATTCGCTCTCCCTAATCCTACGTACATTTCCACGTCAGGCCACGTTGGGCCCCTTTTGCTTTTTTTGCTTTTCTTCCACTAATAAAATAGTTTTTCTTCCTTTATCGATGTGGATATCTCAGCGATGACGTGGCCCCCACCGTCGTCCGCAGTTAGGCGGGAATGTCACCGATTTCCCGCCATACCCGAACCCGTAGCTGTTTCCTTTGGTTTTGGGGATAGACTTTTAATTCAAGTTTTAACCGTCAACAACTGTCACTTTTAACTGACTCGTCGTTTAGTACATCAACAGCTGTCGGTTTTCGGTTAGTGCAACGCACGTTTGGAGAGGAGATACTCGAAAGTATTCCATGCCCTACTTGCCACGTGGCAGGGTCGTGAGGCAAACGTGGTTCAAAGATCGTGAGGCGTTCAACCTTCAACAGAGAGTTTGATTTAAAAATGACGGATTTTATTTTTTGTTTTTGGTGTGGTTAACGCTTCACTGTAGAGTCGGCCACGTTGGAAGCGGTGCGAGACACGGTCTAGCTAAACCGGAGAACATGTTTTCTGACAACACTGCACGTGATTTGCAGACAGTGGGCCGTATGTGTGGGATGGGGTGTTGGTTATGACAGCATGTCGTAGGACATCACTTGTATGATCGACACGTGTCAATTCAACAATTCAAAAATCAGTATTGTATTAAAAAAAAGAAAAATAAAAAACCCTCAGTTTAAGGAGGAAGACATAATTAATCCGAAAGCGTGCCTCCACGACTACGTTTAAACCCATGCGCGCAGTTTTTGTGCCTTCCGACCAATTAAATGCGACCACGTGAGATATACCTTTATATTTTTTTATTGGGCTAATTTGCCCTCTCAGATATCGTGACCGTACTAAAAGTCTTAAAAGGAATATGAATATGCTTAGTGCTTACGGTCGCCTAATACGATTTGTTCCAGTGTATGGGGTCCGAATCTTCGATTTCATAGCTTCCTTCTTGGAAAAGTACGATCGATCCAAACATTTTCTTAACGAATCAGAATAATGAAAAAGACGGATGTATCCATTCATAAATGAACAAATAAGGAAAAAAGCAGGGGTAAAAAGGGCAATCCAGTGGAATTATAAGCAAAGGTAAAGATCAAAGATTACATTACACCGAGAAGTACAAGAAAACCGGCCCAAAAAAGTGACAGAGAAAAAGCCGATGCGAGCGGGGTGTTGTCACGTGCGGACGTCATTACTTCCGTCGGTAAATTAAAAACTTAATTATCAAGCCAAGAAGGGTCCCATGTTGCTAACGTGGATAGTTCCATCACCGTTTATCGAAGAATTCCCTCCTCTTTTCATTCTTGAGTCGAAGTCACGCAAAAGGACAGTGGCCTCAGTACAGGTGGCATCCGAGCTGGACTTATGAACTACCACGATTGGGGATCAAGCGACACGTGGTAGTAATTAAAGTTAACCAGCGGGAGTGTGTAGAAGTAGAATGCATTTGGATGTAAGAAAAACTGGTCAGCGCGGGCAGACTCATCGGGCAGGCGTTACTCACGCCATGTGACCCCCCCTTTTTTCATTTTTTATAGTTTCCCCTCTCCCTTTGCGTACAATAGATGCGCGGTTTCGGTATTATATAAAATTAAAAAATAATAATAAAGAATATTAATTAATCTAAAATTTATGTATATATATATAAGAAGGAGCATAGAAGAGGAGAGGGTAAAGAACAAGGCGTGCGTTCTTTTTCTAGAGAAAACAAAAACAAGGAAAAACAGGAGGGAGAGAAGGAAAAGTTTGGTAGGGGTTGTTAATAGCGATTTAGTCGAAGGTATACAAAGTGGAAGAGTTTTTAGAGTGTCTGGCATTTGGCTTTGTTTGATTCAGCCGAGAGCGTTGTTGGTTTCCTAGGTCTTTGGTGACACATAAAGGGTTGTTTTTTGAAGCTTTTTCTTTAGTGAGGTTTTCAATCTTTTTTGGGTTCTTAAAGAGACAGCAAACCAAGCAGTAAAAGAAGAAGAAGAAAGAAAGAAAGAGTAGAGAAAAATGGAGTGGCATGCTTGTCTTGATGAATACGAGAAGCTTGTTAGAAGGATGAGCACTCCCAGGTTTGTAGTCTTCGTTTCTTCTTTTCAAATCAAACAATATTTCACAACTTTTTTTTCTCTTGTGAGTCAGTGATTTTGCAACAAAAGGAAAGAGGCGTGGGTTTTCCTGTTGGTTTTGCCTTATAGCTTGTGCTTCCTGGGAGTCTGGGTTTGAGCTCTTTTTGCTTTCTTGATTTTCGCCATGATCATATGTTTTAAAAGCCAACAATTTCTTTTCATTTGTTTTCTCTTGCTTTCAGTGTTCTCCTCTGTTCTGGATTCAAGGTCTCTGTTTTCTCCTGGTTTTTCAGAGTTCTCTTTCCTCCTAATTTGGAACAATATCTCTACAAACTTATCGATACTAGTTAGCAAATTTTAATTTCTAAACTTTAACTGATAGTCACAAATTTTAATTTACAAATTTACAAATATTATCATTTCACAAAATTTCATAATAATTCTTTGACATTTTTTTCCTAATATTTTCTGGAAGCTTTCAAAGTGTTCCTTCCTCAGGCTTTTCGAAGATCTCTTTCATTAAACTTTTCTTGCTTCTAAAATTTGAAAATTGAGAAAACCTTGCTAAGGAAATGAATTTCGGTGACTTGACCTTTCCTTGCTTTTTATTGTTTTTACAGGGTCGTGATCGACAATACCGTCTGCCCCACTGCGACTCTTGTCAAGGTTAGCTCCCACGAAACCCTTTAAATATGAACGCACCGAAAAATTTGTCGTCTTTTCTTTATTATTGCCCAAAATTTTGACTTCTGGGTGTCCTTTTTTTCCCTTTGATTTTTCAAAGCCTTTGACTCAGTCTTTCCTCTTGCTTTGATTCCTCAGGTTGATAGTGCTAGAAGGTACGGAATTTTGTTAGACGCGGTTCAGGTTTTAACAGATCTGAATCTTTCAATTAAGAAGGCTTACATTTCATCTGATGGCCAGTGGTTCATGGATGGTAAGCTCACTTTACAAATAAAAAAAAAGATTTTTGAAATAAAGTTTGTTCTTTTAGCATGTTACTATTTCTGGGTCTTACTTGAAATTTCTGTTACTAACATTTTCCTTTTGGGGTTTGTAGTTTTCCATGTGACTGATTTAAACGGAAACAAATTAACGGATGAGAGCGTTATTAGCTACATTGAGCAGGTAGTTCTTACACTTATTAATAATGGGATGCCCTTTATTGTAGCTTAATCTGCCATAAAACTGATTTTATTTTTGTCTGCTTGGCAGTCCCTTGAGACCACTCATCGCGATAGGAGCCAAGGGTTTAATGGCTTAACGGCGTTGGAATTGACGGGAACAGATAGAGTTGGTCTTTTATCAGAAGTATTTGCAGTTTTAGCTGACTTGCAATGCAATGTGGTAGAAGCTAAAGTGTGGACTCATAATGGTCGAATCGCCTCTTTAATTTATGTAAAAGACTGCAATTCGGGGTTCCCTATTGAGGACTCGCAGCAAATTGACAGAATCGAAGCACGATTAAGGAATGTTTTGAAAGGAGATAATGATATTCGTAGCGCGAAAACTTCAGTTTCTATGGCGGTAACACACACTGAGAGAAGGTTACATCAAATGATGTTTGCAGATCGTGACTATGAAAGAAAGCCTATTTTGCAACATAGGGCAGATTCTCCTGTGGTCACTGTGCAAAATTGGGTGGAAAGGGGTTATTCAGTTGTGAATGTTCAGTCCAAGGATCGAACCAACCTTTTGTTTGATGTAGTTTGCACATTGACAGATATGCAATATGTTGTGTTTCATGCCACTATCAACACAGCTGGGGATAAAGCATATCTGGTACTTAATTGTTTCATTATTTAATCTTCTTTAAGAATTTGGTTACATGACTTCAGTTTATAGACTTCAATTTGTTTACTCTTCTTGCAGGAATTCTATATTAGGCACACAGACGGAACCCCAATTAGTTCAGAACCTGAAAGACATCGTGTAATCCAATGCTTGCAAGCTGCAGTTGAAAGGAGAGCATCTGAGGTATATTCTATTCCAAGTCATTTCTCTATTTGACGGTTGAATCTTTAATTTTTAATGTTTGTCCAATATTCCAAAGACTGATGCATTAGTTGTGTGATTTCAGGGTGTAAGGCTGGAGTTATGCACTGATGATAGGCAGGGTCTATTAGCAGATGTGACCCGAACGTTTAGAGAAAACGGTCTTAACGTGACAAGAGCCGAGATATCAACCACGGGGGACGTGGCTAAGAACGTTTTCTATGTAACGACGCAATTGGAAACCTAGCAGATCCCAAAATCATTGAAGCAGTGAGACAAAAGATTGGTTTAGGGAAGTTAAAAGTAAAGGAGTTGCCATTGATTTATCATCAAAAGGCTGAAAGGGAGGAGCAGGCAGTAGGGGTTGGTGGGACAGTGTTGTTATCACTTGGGAGCCTAGTGAGAAGGAATCTGTACAATTTGGGTTTGATTAAATCCTATTCTTGAAGTGGAAACTCCAGGGCAGCAAATTGGTAGGAAACTCTTTGGTTGGCATGTGGCATATTCTTTGCTTCAGGTTTGGGCTTTGGCCTTTGTGTACATATGAAAAAGGTGGAATTTGGTGACAGTTGTTGCTCTAGGTGGGTTTGGTTGGCTGAATTGACAGAACCACGGAGAGAAGATTGGGAGGCAGCTCCACCAATTTTTTTATTACCCCCAACGCTTGGTTTAGGGGAAGGGAAGATTTGAATGGGAAGAGGGAAAACAGAACAAAAGTTAAAAAGATATTGGTGGGGTTTGTGAATTGTGCTATAGATTTGTTGCTGTCAGAGAGAAAGAAGATTAGGTAGAAGAAAAATATGGTTTATTATACACAAACATTTGTACATAACGACTTTTAAGTATTAATTATAATGGTTGACTTGATTTTTTCTATATACTTCTGTCTACTATTTTCTGCTTGGGTCCATTTGTTTGAAGGAAGAATCTAGTGTTTCCTTTGATTATATTATGCAGACATAAGGTCCGACCTTGTAGATTAAAGGAATCCTTTGCCCAAAGGGTAATCCATCCAGATGCTTCTTCTCTAATCACCACGTCTAGAAGTAATACCTAAGCAAGTTGGAACCAATCAAAGCAAAAAAAGAAAAACATTAGGAACAAATGGTTGATTTCCAAATGGACAAAGCATGTTTTTATCTCAACTGGTTTTACTCATAATGAAGGTAATTACACCTCTTCCAAATATTGTAAAAATATTAGTATAGGCGGGGGAGTACAACTAGCACCTGTCCACCCAAGCAACTACTATGAACCAACCCAGTGGCCTAAAATCCCAAGTTCGAACGTCAAATGTAACTAGAGTCGAGCTGGTTCTTTCATGCAATTGGCCAGCCATTCAAACAGGTTGGGGAAGGTTAGGTCTAGTGTGCCTAACTTTTTAGAAGCGGTAGAGTTACTACAAAGTCTTCAACAATTTAATAGCTGCATAGAATAGCAGTTATGGAAAGCAATTTATTGGGGGATGGTTTTCAATTATGAAATCCTAACGGTTTGTACCTGCTGCCGCCCCTATTACCTTATAAAGCCTGGTTAAATCTTTACACCTTTCCTGCTACAAAGTTAAAAGAGTTTGCCCACCATAAAATTCATATCAATTGCCTTCAACGTTTAACCACCATGAAATTTTAGTGTTAATGCTGTCCTTATTATGGTAAACTTGTACTGCTTGTATTCTAAAACGTACTACTAATGTCGATATATGCCATTAAGACGATTAACTTCTTTTTGTTGCGTTGCTAAAATATCTAAGAAATTTTAGTTAAAATCCCATTTTAATAAAGGAAGTGGACAGGCAGGGCAGCCAATTGTTGAGTCGATTAGAGGTCCCCCCGATGACACTTTAGATTATATTTATCTGATAACTTCTGAAAAAAATTTGATCCCAAACTTTGGAGCCTATGGCTACTATCAAGCCCCCTGCACCATTTTTGCTTTAAAAAATTAGTAGTATTAATTAAAAATGAATCAAATTGGCATAGAAAGTAGCAGCCAAGGAAGGCAAAAACACAAGGGGGAAAGACGGCTGGTTGTCTTTACCATGTTCTTATCTGTCCAATGAAAACAACACCGTTCCCGACACTCAAGTCTATCCCCTAAAGTGGAAGGTTTCTTGGTTGTAGCTTTGGATTCAACTCCTTTTACCCTTTTTCTTTGTTTTTAATTTAATATTCCAAGATATTCCCTTCAATGTAAGATGTTAAATTCTCTTCAAAGATGTCATCTAGCTAGTTAATTGGACAGCTTATCTTGGTTTGATTAGCAAATAGGAAGAGGCTATCCCAGCTTCTTGTAGTTTGGCCAGAATCTTATTATCCCATAACTAAACCATAAAATGTTGTTTTGTCAAAACTAGAAAATTCACTCGACACATGCAAAGAAACAAGCACCTCAAACAGCTGTAAAGAATTTGGCAGTTTCAGAATTACAGAAGAAAATCAAATCTTTTGTCTTTGACCCATTAATGTACGGGGTGTGAATTGTCCCTCTCCCTTTCCCATATAGAGAAAATTTTTTCTTCCTTTTTGTTTGTCAAACAGAATACAAGAGACAATTGCTTTCTTCATCCCAACCCCAACGCTTACGTCCTTTGGTTCAGATCCCTTTGTGGTCCACAATGGGAATTTGAAGAAAGAAGTGGAAGTTTTGTCAATTTTAAGAGTGAAGTTGGTGGTGAACAACTAAGACACTTTGACCTTCCAAAACCAAGATACGTGTTCTTAGCACATAGAAATTCGGGGTTAACAGTAAACCGCGTGAGCTTCGGGGTTAGAACATAGAACCCCAAACACTGGCTCACATGCCGGCAAGTGCGCCGGTTAAGGTGGGTAGCTTAGCTGGCCCCTTTTGGCTCAGGGAAGAAATAAAGAGACACTGACACTGTTGGAGTCACATGCCCTAAGTGTGGTGTCCTGCCTGCTGACTGCCTTCGACCTTTATTCACCATTTTTAGTCTTATTGGCTCTGCTTTTTATAGACCTGTTTTTCAGTTTGGTCTCTCTTTCAAACTCTGTGGCTTGGTCTCTCGTAATTTGATGACATTTGCGCATGAAATGAGGATCATTCTTTTGGTTGGTTTTAGGGCTCAAAAAGTAGGATAGTCAAAACATTTAAGCGATTGCCTTTTATAATGTGAAGGGCTCTTTCTTCTTTGGTCTTCCTAGATTTTGATTAAGTTAGACTGGTCATTAGCTGCCTATCACATTTGGGAATGATTTGAAGTATGGTGGACTCCTACTTTCCAAATTCCAATGGAAATGCATTAAAGGTTGAGGATAGAGGAAGGGAAATATATTGACATTGTATTTAGAAGGTTTTTCTTGGGCTAAATCAAACGAAAATGCACAAATTTAAGTGAGGTAATTAACATGTATAATGATAGCCTATAGTGACATTTGGTATAATCAATAAATACTTTCAAAATATTTTACAAACTTTTCCTAATTATTCTTGTTACTTGCTATAAGGTCGAAAATTAGAACTGAACATAAAAAATCATATTAGTTCGAGCTTGTGTTTTAAGTGAATAAAAAAATAAAAGAAGCCAAATCTTGTTTATGAAGTGATTGTAAATATTTGCTTAAACATGATGCATGAACATATGATTGCTTTAATTTATCCATTCCCTTAAGATATGTATATCCATAATTTAGGGATGGAGAATTTTGCTTAGGAAAGGAAGTCTAGTCCATCCATCTCTTAGAATTTTATTGACCAATATCCTTTTATAGTCAAGCCAAGATCTTATATTATTCCCTGAAAACAGGCGGATTAATGCATATAGAATTTTCAATCGAGCAGCTTGCATGGTGAGTTAGCATCAATTCATATGGTTTCCAATATGCACAAGTATTAGTTGCTCTTTATGGCAATATGCACAAGTATTTGATAATCAATGCATATGGTTTCCAATAGAATCAACTGTATATAGTTGCCGCCAGCTAGCATCAATCCATCCTCCATGGCTCCTTCCTTTATGGAATTTCTTAACACTGTTCGTTAGAACTATTTAATTAGCATCTTTACACATGCATGTGAATTACTTGTTATTTGTAAATCCTAACATTAAGTATTAGGGAAAATGATTCTCCCACGTGTGAGATTCCAATGGTTCATTCTCAAAGGGAGGCTTCGTGTAAAGTAGCCAATAGATTTATAGATACTAACCATAACATAATTGAGATTGATTGTGGATTGCATTGCATGAAACTTTATGCCAGGTTGAGTATTTTTTTTTTTTAATTTTGGCCTAAATGTGGCATAGAACCATCCTCGAATCTCATCTTCTGTAGTCCATTTTACACAAAAGAACCGCCACAATTCAATCTTTTAAGATATCAAAATGCTTCTAGAACCCTTATATTCCAGTCAATCAAAAAGCAAATATTAATTTCAAATTAACCCATTAGATTTAAACGTAGTACGTACGGAATGATTATTAGAATAAAAGTGTATGGAAATTTTGGAATCATGATATAAAATTAATAACTCTTTTACAGATGGTAAGGAAAATTAATGGTTAGTATATCCGTGATCTAGTATTGGAGAAGTTTAAAAACTTTTCACAAGCAAATTTATACTTCTATCACCCATTTAATTATTATTTAAGTAATGATGAAAGAGATGTCGATTTTTTCTGAATTTAACGAAGTATCTAATTTCACATCTCGACAAGATAAGTCCAAGATAATTTTAATAAAAAATAAGACAAGTTTCAGATAAAAATTCAGGAAACGAAAATTCTCCATCCCTGATAGATGCTCGTGAGGGCAAGGTTGGGGAGAAAATTCCTTCCTAAGACGGGGACGGGAATAGGGAATTCACTTCCTGCTCCAAACCAGACTTGCTGACATCCCTGTCGGTAAATAAATGTGTTAGTTTTAGCATAAACAAGTTGGAAGGGGAAAGAAAATTTGAAGTTGGCAAGCATTGAATTGATGCTAGGTTAATAAATCACGATATAAATGAGGACAATTCAAACCATATATATATATATATTAAAAAAAATTAAATTTTACTTTTTAAGTAAAGAGATCATGTAATAATTAATGAATTAAATATTTGAGTACAAATATATATACTTAAAAACTATTTATATAATTAAAGAGATTCTTCTAAGTTGGACCTGCCAAAACATATTTAGTGACGAGTAATGCAGCAACTACGAGCCTCAATTGTAGCCACTGCATGCGATTACACATATTAAGTTTCCTTTATTCGATATTTTTGTTTTTTCATAAAAATATAAAATATCAACCAATTGAAAAAAATTCCCGAACCCCTCCTGCCAGCATTTGTTCCAAAACGTATTGCGATTTTATGTGTACCAAAAAAGAAACCAACTACCCATGTGAAGCTGACAGCAAAAGAAGGATGCCTCATGATCCCATTACTCAAAGGAGACTATGTATTCTGTTGGTTCTGTGAATGTGCTAGGAAACCTTAGGCAGCCTTGTCTAGTACCATTGCAAGAAAAAAAAAATGGTATTGGTTTCATGAAATTTCCCTTTCATTGCACTACTTGAATTATAAAGGTCATGTGTTTTTGAGGCTAGCTTTATGCTAATCGCATATATGTTTTCAAAGTTTTCAAAGCTTTACGCCTCAAACATTTCCTATTATGTATATGCCTTGCACATGGGGATTGAAATTGCTTTTGTCAATAGAATTTACATATACCCCATTTTTGTACCCTAAAACAAAATCAAGCCAAAAATATATTACTGAATGCTAAGTAATTTACATGGTTTGTGTTGTTCTTTTCATCACTCACTACAACGAAAAGGATCCAGCTAATCCCACCCATCTCTCTTTTGAGTTGGTGTCTGCTTCGAACAATGTTTGCGGTTATATATCCTATTATTACCTACCTAGAAAA